TCTGCCATGTCATGTTGGATACCCTTGTCCATCTTTCTTCTGAGACCTTGTGAGAGTCTTACCTGTTGTAACCTAGTTTAGGTTTGGAGTCGTCGTACTCCATGTGATTGTCATGGTTATGAACATTTACTCCCCTTGGAACCTAGATCGTTATCAAAAAATCCTTATCCCTCGCCAGCCGAACTACGGAGGCTCTGATTCCCATTTCCTAGTTAGGATACGTAGGCACAAGATGCGATATCTTGTCGAGCCCTCTAACCACTAACAACTAACATTTATCTTCCTCCTTTTGGTCTGGTTAGAACCAATTGGTCTTGCAACTTAGAATTAGGTTTAGAGTTGGTGAACTCTGTGTGAGTATCGTGGTTATGAGTACTCACTTTCCCCTTTGACTTTGGTTAAAGTCAACTTCTTTAGCTAGTTTTCAATTTAGACTTAGAGAGTTGGTTAACTCTGTGTAAGTATCATGGTTATGAATACTTACTTCCCCTCTGGAACCTTGATCATTATCAAGAATTCTTCATGCCTAGTTAGGAAAACTACGGTTGCTCTGATTCCATCCTTGTTAGGATACGTAGGCACGCGATGCGATGTCTTGGCGATCATACTTAGTGTATATACCCTAGGTATTTACCTTGCACCTTTCCCTTAGCAAGCAAACATTAACATAACACAAATACTAATAAGAGGTTCTTGTAGAGTACTACATATACTTAGGATTCTAACACCTTCCCTAGGTATAACCAACCCCCGAACCTTAGATCTCATAGCTTCGTTGTTACGTAGCGCACTTAGGATTTTCTTTCGATCTTTACCCTTTCTTTTGGATAAATCAAAGCTCGGTGGTGAACTTCATGATTTGTGATTCAAGTTGATTAATAGCTTGATATCCGATTCTCACTGAAACAATGTCGATCGAAGACAAGATGATGAGAGTTTTCAAATCAAATGGAAGGTTGATCTTGAAGGCTTAAATGTATCAGAATACAACCTTCAAGATTGAGCTTAATGTGATGGAGCATAAGTGCCTTGCAATTGCATCCAACAGAGATTAATGAATATGACATTATAGACTTAACCATCTCAATTTCAAAGACATTAGAGATTTAAAGAGAAGAAATATGGTTTCAGGATTACCAGAAATCGACATCCCAAACGAAGTATGTGAAGAATGTGTGCAGGCGAAGCATCACAAGAACAAATTCAGCAAGGATGCAGAAGGTAAGTCAAAGGAAATTCTTATAGTCATATACTCTGATGTATGTGGTCATATCCAAGGGGTCGATTGGAGGTAACATATACTTTGTCACTTTCATAGATGATTTCAGTCAAAAACTGTGGACTTACTTGATCAAAAAGAAAAGTTAAGTGATCAAGGTATTTTCCAAATTTAAATTTATGGTTGAAAGACAAAGTGGTCGAAGACTAAAGATTCTGTGGACTGGCGGTGGTGGTAAGTATGTGTCAAAAGAATTTGATGCATTATGTTATAAAGAAGGGATTGTGCATAAGGTGATGCCACCTTAAACTCCACAGTAGAATGGAACTGCATAAAGGAATAATAGAACCATCATGAATATGGTGAGAAGCATGTTGAAACACAAACAACTATCCAAAGAATTATGGGGAGAAGTTGTGTCGACTGCAACATACATCTTGAATAGATGTCCGAAAAAAAAGGGTAGAAGGAATTACGCCAGAAGAATGTTGGTCTAGTGCAAGCCTAGCCTAATTCATTTGAAGGTGTTTGGATTTATAACACATGGACATGTGCCAGATCAGTTGAGAAAAAAACTTGATAACAAGTCAAGTCAAATGATCTTGATATGATATCATTCGATTGAAGGATACAAGTTGTTCGACCCAGTGAATAAGCAATTAGTGATCAGTAGGGACATGATCATAGATGATCTTAAAGAATGGGATTTAACTGAGAATGTTAAGAAGGATTCAGTGAAAATCTTAACCAACCAGTGAAGTCGAAAGAGAAGTTCGACATGAAGAAGTCAAAGGTGAAGCAAACCCAAGTAGACCTCAATAAACAAGACACGTGCCAAGATTTCAAGATTGTGTGATTACATCAGATGATATGGTAAACGAAGAAGGTGAGCTAGTACTCTATGCTTTCTACGCAGATGCCAAACTAGTAAATGCAGATGAGGCATTGAAAGATTTAAAGTGAAAGAAAGCAATGAATGAGGAACTAGAGTCCATCGAAGTCAGCAATACTTGGTCACTAGTCGAATTGCCTCAAGGAAATCAATGTGAAGTGGGTATATAATGTGAAGTTGAATTCCAAAAGAGAAGTAACTCGACACAAGGAAATATTTGTAGCAAAAGGATTTCTTTAGAAAGAATGAATCGACTTCGACAAAGTTTTTGCACCTGTTGCTAGGATCGAAACAATTAGGTTGGTTGTTGGTCTAACAAACATGAACAACTAACATGTATGTCAAATGGATGTGAAATGTGCAGTACTTAATGGTCCCTTAGATGAAGAAGTTTATGTTGCACAACCAACTGAGTTTGTGAAACAAGGCGAAGAAAACAAGGTATACAGGCTGCACAAAGCCCTGTATGAACTTAACCAAGCTTCAAGAGCTTAGAATAAGAAAATAAATAGCTTCCTAAGGGAGAAGAAATTTGTGAAGTGCACAACTGAGCATGAAGTATATGTAAGGAGAAACAATATTGAATTGCTTATACTATGTCTCTATGTCGATTACCTGTTGATAACAGGAAGTTGCAAGGAGATTGAAGACTTCAAACATGACCTAAGTGAGGAGTTTGAAATGTCAGACTTGGGAAATCTCTCACATTTCCTTGGCATCGAGTTTTACAATAGTGGTAGAGGTTTGATGATGCACCAAATAAGACATGCAGGTAAAATACTCAAGAGATTTGAGATGCAAGATTGCAACTCAACTTCGACTTTAGTTGAGCTCAGATTGTAACTGTCGAAAGAATCAGATGAAGATGATGTTGACCCAACTTAGTACAGAAGACTTATCGGGTCATTAAGATACATTTATCACACAATGCCTGATCTAGCATACAATGTAGGTATGGTAAGTAGATCCATTCAGAAGCCAAATGCGTCACACCTAGTAGCAAGAAGAGGATACTAAGGTATCTGAAAGGAAATATCGACTATGGCATTTTGTTTCCTTCAGATGACGAAGAAAAAGAATGCAAGTTAGTGGGATACAACGACTCAAGTTGGTGTAGTGATGTCGAGGATAGAAAATCTACACCTGGCTATGTGTTTATGCTAGGTGGTGCACTTGTTGCTTAGAGTTTGAGAAAGGAGCCAGTAGTAGCATTGTTGTCATGCAAAGTAGAGTACATATATGTTTCTCTCTGTGCATCTCAAGCAAGATGGATGGTGAATCTGGTCGAAGAGATTACAATGAAGAGTCATGGAATAATTACCATAAAGATTGACAGCATGTCAGCTATCAATCTGGCAAAAAATCCGATAGCACATGGACGAAGCAAGCACGTCGAAACGAGGTACCATTATCTTTGAGAGCAAGGTAGTAGAAGGAAAGATGAACTTAGAACATTGTAGAATTGAGAATCAGATTGCAGATATCATGACGAATGAAGTGCAAGTTAACGTGTTCAAGAAGTTAAGGTCTATGGTGAATATATATATATATATATATATATATATATATATATATATATATATATATATATATATATATATATATATATATATATATATATATATATATATATATATATATATATATATATATATATATATATATATATATATATATATATATATATATATATATATATATATATATATAGTTTAGACATAATGAATTAGGTGGTGTGTTGAGAATGTAATTCCTTGTGTCGAACAGATGTAGCTCGACAGAAACAAGGATGTGTTGATATTAGCCTAGTGTAGCGTGTGTCGAGTTGTGTTAGATGTCGAAGTGTCGAAGCATTTTGCTTGACACAAGATTTCGACTTAGACCAAAATATAAATTTTGGGCTTTTGTATATTTTGCCCTTTACCTTAGGGAGCAAGTTAGCTCTATTATAAATAGAGTGAGTAACCCCTATTTTGAGTAAGAAGAATAAAAAATAATATTATAATCACTTGTAATTGCAAAATTAATAAGATTTTCACAGTTTGTGGGCAGAGAGACTTTGCATAAATTATTTTCTTCTTCCCCAAAATTTGTCAAACCCTAATATTCGTTCTTATTCATTTTTCTTTCTTTTTTTTCATCAACAATTGCTCCACAAAATCATTCTTGCAATTAAGGTGTGATTGATCCACTTAAGTGAAGAATGAAGAACAATGAATTTTAATCGGTTGATTGAATCTTTTTATCAAAATTGGTTCAGAATTACTCAAAGTTTTGGGTTAATTCCAACAAAATGAACATCAATTTTCATATATTACAATTTTGGTGCAGGAGTTAAACAAAGGAGCTCCTAGTCGAATAACAAAGGTGCATAAATTTTAACCCAAGGGTGTGGGTTTGAATCCCACAATTTATAAAAATTTATTTTGTTAAATTTATCATTGTCACATAAACTAATAAAAAATAATTATATAAATCTCAATTCGTAAAAATATAAATCATTAATGATAAATTTTTTGTGTTATTTTTCACATTGTAGTAAGTATAAATTTATTTTTAATTTATATTTTTATTTACAAAATTCTATAATAAATTTACATACAATAATTTATCATTTAAAAAATAAAAATACTTTTAATCTTAAATGCAAATGGAAGAGAGAACAGCTGTTTAAATAGAGTGATCAGAAAAAGAAAAAAATAAAGACATTTCCTAAATTTTAGTGGATTTCTTAAAAAGTTAAAATATTTTTCATTTAAGAAAATGAGGAGAATTCGCGTGGTGTGTGTTTCAAACCGCCACTGTTTCTTCTTCTTCTTCTTCTTCCTTCTCAAAATTCTCTGTTTATCGCATCTTCACAACCTAAGCGCCTAAATTCAACTCAGCATAATGGCGTCGTTTTTGTCTCTCCCTGCCGTTTCCCCTCGTCTCATTCCCACCGCTTTCTCTCTCAATCGACCTTTAATCAACACTATACCCAATTTGCATTTCAAAAACCACCGGTTTGTAATCCCATCCATTCTCCATAAAATTCACAACTTTTTTCTTTTCTCTATTTTGGGTTTCATTAAAAAATATTGTTTTCTTATAGTTTTCACGTTTTCTGCTATTAGCTAATGTTGGAACATGCCACTATGAAATTAGTTTTACTGAGGTTCTTTGCTTGTTTTCTGATGACAGATTACGGTTCACAATCATCAATATGAGTCTTAGTGAGTAATGGGTTGTGTCCAAAATTTTGTTTTTCTTCATTTTTTGGACTTGGGTCAGTGAAGTGGTTTATGCATTTGTTTTTCATTATTTTCGGATTAACGTTCAAGCTATGGATTATTCTAACTCTATTAAAATTCAACATTTCCATTATTCTTATTATTATCTATGTTATCTAAATTGGGGACGGGTGTAGATGCTTTAGCCATTTCGGTTGTTACAAATATTTGAAAGATTATGGTCATCACTGCGCGAAGTAACCACATTAAACTATTTGAACTGTTATATAACATATATAACAACTTATATTGAAGTTTGTTTTTCATTATTATAATGGTTTGTGTATATTTTCATGCAGGTTTGCAGTTAGCTGCAGTTATTCAGGTGGTGGTGGTTTTGAATCTTCGACATCAACTATAGATGTTGTGGCTGATGTTAAAAGTGAAAAGGTACACGCACACTTTCCATTTTTTGATGACTTTGATATTCATTTTCGGTGTATGTTGTTCAAAAAAGTTATTGCTTTTATGTCTCATCGTAGATTGTAGTATTGGGAGGCAATGGGTTTGTTGGTTCTGCCATATGCAAGGCAGCAGTTTCCAACGGCATAGAAGTCATAAGCGTAAACAGGTTTGCGAAACGTTGAACTAATTCACCACATATGTATGTCTGTTAATCTCTTCTATGCTTCTTTGGTTTTACGTATTTGATTGATATTTTGTTTAACAGGTCAGGACGTCCTTCTTACTCGGATTCTTGGATAGATCAGGTTACTTGGATTTCAGGCATGTGAACTTCCTAATACATGATTCTTTTTTCTTGCAATTTTGCGTGGACCTAATTATTAGATAGAATGTAATGTGTCTTGGGCTTCTGGAATGTAAGCTATCTTTTATGCGATCCTAATGTGCAGGAGATGTTTTTTATGTAAACTGGGACGAAGTACTTCCTGGAGCTACTGCAGTCGTCTCAACACTTGGAGGTTTTGGTAGTGACGAACAAATGAGTAAGATTAATGGCGAGGCTAATGTTCTGGCTGTGAATACTGCAAAGGAATATGGTGAGCCTGAGTCATCTCATTGAACATTATGTTTGGGTTGTTTCTTTTGCGGTGATGCTTTAAATTTATTTATGGAACCGGAGTTTAATAATCATTAACCCGATATGCTATTTACTTCTCACACAACTTTTTTTTTTCCTTGCAGGAATTCCCAAATTCATATTGATCTCAGTTCATGACTATAACTTGCCATCGTTTTTACTATCATCGGGGTACTTCATAGGGAAGAGGAAAGCAGAATCTGAGGTTCTATCCAAATTCCCTAATTCAGGTCATTATTCTCTATGTCTTCACGATCTTGAAACTAATTCGGTATCTGAGTCTTGTTAACAAATGACTGAGGTTCTGAACTCGACTAGTCTAAAATCGAAATACCCTGACCTGCAAACGAGTCAAGTTGCTGATGAAATGGTAACATCAGACTAGTAGAACTAAAGCTCATAGAGTATCCAACAATAGGGTTTGTGAAAGATGAATATCATGCTTTTGTCGTGTTTGGATTGACTTATTTAAATTTATCTGCTGGCATAAACATTTGTGAGTCCGTTGTGGAGAGCTTATGAATACATCTCACATCTTTTCAGCATATAGTTTATATAGAAGTAGTAGCATTAGCTTATAGACCAAGACAAGCACTTATTAGGTAAGCGCTTATTTAAATTGAGTTGCATTCTCGAAAACTCACTTAAAAGTCCCAAAACATCTTCAGGTGTTGTGTTAAGACCAGGTTTCATATACGGGAAAAGGAAAGTGGACGGTTTCGAGATTCCTTTGGATTTAGTAGGGGAGCCAGCTGAAAGAATTCTGAAAGCAATAGAGAACTTCACAAAACCATTAAGCTCACTTCCGGCTTCTGATCTGCTTTTGGCTCCACCAGTTAGTGTTGACGATGTCGCGTTGGCAGTTATCAACGGTGTTACAGATGATGATTTCTTTGGTGTTTTTACAATTGAGCAGATCAAGGAAGCTGCACAGAAAGTAAGGGTATGATCCAAATACATGTTTGGTGTCATACTAGATAAAGTTGCAAATATTACAAATGGAGTGAAAAAATTAAGTTGTTTTTTTCTTTGTTGAATCTTTGGTTTAATACTTCAGTATTTGGATATTCTTATCCAATTGTGTTTTGTTTAGAGGTTAATTGTTCTATTTGTGAATACAAGTTATACTCTAACCTATCAATAGTATCTCAATAGTGTAATAATTAACTTTTTTACAATTGGATTGTTAAATAATTTTAATTTTAATTTATTCTTAACATTTCTACATCTTACCTTATTTCAAATAATTCAAAGTATGATTTTTTATCTTTAAAGAAGAGATGCAATCTAACACAGCTACTTTTTTTTTTTTTTCAAACATGACATATTGTTTCATTACATAATTATATTTATTTTTTGTTTCAAAAAAATAATTATATTTATTTTAAAAATGCCGTTCATGTGAAATTTTATTTGATGAGAAAAGCAAAAGCATTATACTCATATGCAAGTACATACTACAAAAATTAACATTCATGAAATAAATCACGCATTTTCATAAATTTAATAAAGTGGTATTTATAACACTCATCAAACCAACAATTCACAAAATGTAATCTTATAGATAACAAATGGGATCTTACATAAAATAAGAGAATTTCTTAGGCACTCTAATTGGTTTTTTTCGAGCTTCACAATTTTTTTATTGTCTCCGTAAGATAAAAGATGGTGAATTTCGTCTTTGATATTTTTGAGAGAGGTGAAACTAATGAGCTTAAACATCTGTTCAGGTGTAAAGCTGGTGAAAGAGACATTTGCGACATACTAATAGATGTTTATTTGTAATATTTGAGACATTTTTAATTTGTGTAAAATATAACATTAGAACACCTTAATTTATAGAAGTCATAGATCAATTTGGGTCACTCATTAACTGACATATTGATTATGGAGATATATCTCCGAAACGACACCCTATTATCTTGTTCTGGAGATACATCTCCAGAACTTGTCCTAAACCAATTTCAAAACAGAACACTAAAACATAACCTATTTTTTCATTGATAGAAACACAAATGTTGTTATGGAGAAGATTAAAAATGCCTAAAGACAAAATATGAATATATAACACTTCATTTATATTGAGACACAGTTACATACAATTATTTGTTCGGTTAAACAAGAAATTAAAAAGAATCGAAACATATATCCACGGTTAAATCTATTGGTGGTACCCCCTTGAACTTTTGTGCATTTGATTCTTTTTCAATGTTGTTCAATCCCTCAAATTCTTGCATCCTTTCCATAAAATGATTCGGGCAAGTCTCGACTTTTGTTGTTGAATGAGTCATCCACTCTAGTGATGTAAGTGGTATATGACATCTCAGTTTCAAGTAAACTTGAACAAAATGATTTGATTTTGAAAGCCACCCAATACACATGATACGATCATTTGAATTTTGGGGTGGGTCGTTGCGCAGTGGAAAAAAGATTTCCGAAAAACCGTAGCGTGTCAGGTTAACACACACTCTATCATACACATGTTATTAGATGACCCATTTCAGGGAAGCATGTCCATTTTGCTTCTGATGTCGGACCGCTAAGGCAAGGAACAAGAGACTCATAAACTTCATCGAATTTTTCTCTCTTTCTGTACAACCGTGTGTATGATGCTTTATGTGTCTTCAACTCTTGGATAAATTGATGTTAAACAAGTGTATGACTATCTTTTCCTTTACTGAGTAAAGCCGAAATGGCTTGGTAATCGTAATTATTGTCCCCATATCATTGTTGATCCGCCTGATATATTTGTGCATAAAAACTCGCATCTCGTCGATAAATGGAAGCTTTGGTGGAGGCGGTGTCGGAGGTGGTTTGCTAATGCAAGCTCCTTTGACAACACTTTTTAAAAGATTTTGGAGTTGATGAATCGGAGAAAACTTTGTCAACATGTTCAAAATATGAAGGAGACCATGTAGTCGAATTGTCATTCGGTGTAGACTTTATTTTCTTTGGAGCACCTTTTATTTTTATGGGTTGAGAAGGCGGTTTCATGTCGGTGGTTTTCTGATAAGCAATCTTCCTTAATTGTTCTTTGATGTAGAGTTTCATGTTGTCATCGAATTTCAAAAATCTCTCTTGTATCACTTTCCATTATATCAAAATAGAGATATTCGATTTACCGTCATCCATGCATCCATCATCGTAAAACCTAAATCTCTTCCAATGAGTGCAAACCTCGTCCATTCTTATTAGGTCACCAAGTTTCACCTTTTTAGCAATAACACAAACACATGAGAGACCATATATTTTCACAGTTGTGCATCCACACTTTGCGCTATCAAAGCCTGCATTATAAGCTTGTTTTACCTCGTGAAAGATATAGTTCAATTCTACCTGAGAAATGTTACCAACCATTGAGAATATAAAGTGTTGTCTTTAAATACGTGTTCAAAAACTGTGATGCTCCGGCCAAATACTGTATGTATCTCATTATGCTAGTTTTGAATCATGTGGTTCACGGAGTCTCAATCTCTACACAAATCGCCCTTACTATTTTTCAACCAAATTTTTAAAGTAGCATGGATAGACGCAACTCTATTAGTTGTTGTATTTCTAAGGTGTCTAATATTATCAATCCATGCGCAAACTATCTTTTTCTTCACCTGGTCAAGATATGTGCTATTAACATATTTCAAGAAATCTGGATACTTTTCACACACTTTCTTGAAATTCATAACGGAATTGGCATATAGTTATTTTGTGGAAGAATTTATTATACGATTCCATGCATCCATTAATTTTTCCACAACCACACCCGCCTTCACCGTTTTTCCATCTTCGGACTCTATCTGTTTCATCCTTACTGCATGTTTAACCCGACTTCTCACATTCTTTGTTATGTGATACCTACAAAGTAATGCATACAAATAAGAAAATACTTTTGCAACAAAGTTCATCAATGCGGTATCACAGTCGATAATAAAGGTAGAGAAAAACACAAGAAAATGGGTTTGAATTGAGTTTTTATCAAATGTAAACTTTTATAAATTTCAGCACAAAGGTTTACACGAGAATAAGAGTAAGAAGACACAAATATTTTTTAACCTGGTTCACTGTTAACAAAGTTAGTCCAGTTCACCCGCCAAGGTGATTTTGCCTTCAAAAAGGACTTAATCCACTAATCTAGAAAGATTACAACAAGTTCGTCTAAGTGTTTAAAAAAACACCTTAGTCCTCTCAAGTCTACAAACTAACACTTAGTCACTTGAGGAAAAGTGATATCAAAGAAGATACAATGAAAGTGCTTACAAAGGTGCTTCTATAAAGCAGATGAAACAAATTTAAGAACAAAGTATTACATAAATATGAGCAATAACTCTTTGTGTTTTGATAGAACTTCTAGACTGAGCGTATTTCATTTGTGATATTGATCATTTTTTCTTCTTGTTTTAAGCAATGTGGTAAAGACTTCTTTATATAGCTGAATGTTTGAACGTTGATGAGTACAAACTTAAATCTTTATGCCAGCTGTTGCAACGATAATAACAAGACCGTGAGAGATAATAGTGGTAAAGTCTCACCATACTCCATATAGTAGTACTAACTTAAAATTAGTTTGTACCAAAATGGGAATAAACTTTTGTACGGATTCTTTCATCACATGTTTTTGTCTTGACCTTATCTTCTGATCAACTTTATCTGATGAGAAGTGATGGTGAGTCTAGAAGATGAACGACTGAGTAGAATCAGAGTCTTCAAAGTCTTTAAAAGTAATGTCTTTAGAATCTTCAGAACTTGTTCAACAAAACCTTGTCTTTAGAGTCTTCAGATCTTGATATTAAGTTGGAAGCAAAACTTTTCTTAGAAGCACGTAACTTTCTTTTTCTTCAGAGGCATTCAACATTCATCAAAATTGCTGACGTTTCTTCAGAGACAAACAAAGTAATTTCTTGAGGCATGCCAAAAGGATTATGATGAAACTTCTTGAGAGTTATTCATAATCAATTTGAATTTAATAACTGCACACTTCCAAAATTTATTAGAATACATAATTGTTACATATAAAATATATGCATTGTAATCATCAAAACTAGAAATTATATGCATAACCAAAATATTGTTCTAACAATATCCTCATTTTAAATGATGATAAAATCTTGTATTTTGATGGAACAATGTGTACAAAAATATATGCAAGAGATATCAGAACTCAGAAAACTATCAAAGTTAAGTTAGAGAATTTTTCCCTAAGATAAACAAGCTCCCCCTGAGTCAAAACCCGGTTGTCATATAAAAATCTTATCATCAGAACCTGGTTAACTTAGCATAGCTTGAATTATCATAACCTTTTGCAATGCTTCTATTAGGCTTAATCCATTCAGAAATTTCCTAAAAGAGACATTAATATACTTTGCATACACACACACACACACACACACACACACACACACACACACACACACACACACACACACAACATACACACACACACACACACACACACACACAGATATATATGTGTGTGTGTATCAAAATTATTACGTATTTTACTCCTCCTTTATGTCATAATAAAAAATTTATATTATATTAAAGATGACGTAAAACGATACAAGAAAGAAATTGTAACTTAGAATATATCAGAAAGCTAAAAAGGGAAGCCTAAGGTTGAGAAGAGGGAGGAGGGATCCTTTGCATAAGTTGAGCAAGCATGTTCTGAATGTTAGTGTCGACTTCATCTTTCTTTTCGTGTCTAGTTCTGACTTTTTGCTGTTCTTTCTACATCTCTTCTAGAGTTTTCATCATGAGAGGGAAAATGTCAACTTCAGAAGTGAGTGCTCTATTAGAGCCTTATACATTTTCCTTTTCAACAGCTGCAATTCTAGCTTGTTGTTCTTCAACTTCCTTTTTAGTGGCCTCTTTCTCTGCACCTTCTCTAGCAGCAGGTTCAACAGCTTCTCTTTAAGCAGCGTTCTGAGCTTCCAATCTATCTTCAGCTTCTTTGAAAAA